AAGAGTAAGACAATTAACATCGGTACAAAATGGAACGAAACCAACTCAGTCGGGCACGAGCAGCGTTGAAGGCGCGGTTACCATATTTAGAAAAGGCAATTGAAGAAGGAAAGTTAAATCCGGACGAGATACCAAGTCGCCTCGAACGTATAACTCATCAAGTAGATRCATACGAACAATTACATCAGGAATGTATAGATAGTTTTACGGGAAGAAGAGCCATTCCGTCCCACGTGTATTCAGATAACGGTACTAACTTTGTTGGGGCGAACAATCAATTAAAGAATTTATATGCCTTAATCAATTCCGACGAATATAGGACGAAGATCCACAATTTCGCGACCGACCAAAGAATATCGTGGCATTTCAACCCCCCACTCTCACCCAACTTCGGAGATCTATGGGAAGCTGCCGTCAAATCGTTCAAACATCATTTTAAACGAGTTGTAGGAGAAACTTTATTCACATACGAAGAGTTGAATACCTTCGCTGTCGAGATTGAAGCCATCTTGAACTCGCGACCATTGTGCCCCATCTCATCAGATCCAAACGATACGACAGCACTAACACCTGCTCATTTTTTAGTTGGACAACTACTTAATATGTTACCGGAGGAAAATTATGAGAATGTTCCATCCAATCGGCTATCCTCATGGAAACACATCACGAAGGTGCGGCAGGATTTCTGACGACGATGGCACATTGAATATTTGCGCGAGCTGCAGAAACGCCAGAAATGGACAAATTCACAGTATCTACTCGAGGAGGGTATGATTGTCATTCTCATCGACAARAATCAACCCTGTATGAGATGGCAACTGGGACGGATCACCGACGTGCACCCTGGAGAGGACGAGGTAGTTCGGGTCGTAACCGTGAAAACGATACACGGAACCATCAAGCGTAATGCCACCACTGTGTGCCCTTTATTAATCAACAGTTAAATTACTTCGTATGTAAACGTCAGACGTAATGTTCACGCATGATTTAAAAACACGATATTTGTTATAAATGTGTAAGACGCAAAAGTCGACTGGCCAGCGACGTTTTGATTGTATCAAGCGATTCTACGACTAAATACTGTAACTGAGAATGGGTTAACCCGCCATAATCACATCGAGTGAGAATATTGTTGATCGGTACCCTCTCAACGGGGGGAGTATGTACGATCGGAATCAATCGTGAGCGAGAAATTCACATTTTGTAAAACGCGCCTTTAGTCCGATATTAACGACCGTATCCCCACAACTCGGCGCCGAGCGTGTACGCCCTGCTGGGCCCATTATAAAGGAAATTCGTTCTATTCTTTCGCCAGACGCTTAAAAGAACACTTCATTTTCCAACGAACATAGTAGACGATTCAACATCCCAAGGGAAGTGCGATCACATCCCAGGGTCGACGATAGAAAGGTGACAGACCGCAGAGGCGGTAATTAACGGTAAAGAAAGTGAGAGGCGATACGAAACGGTAAGAAAGTTTTTTATTGGTACCAATCATCTTGAACGGATAAACGAGAGGAGCGGTACCACGGGCATCACACGTAAGTGACCGCTGGAAGAGAGAAAAGAAGTCAACCACGGGCTTGTCCGTGGTTGATCGTCATTTAACGAGTAACGTAGCAGTCAAACAGGGTTCTTATGCCGTAAAGCTTTTCCCTGACGAGCCAATAAAGCATTAGCACTTTAATTAGCTCAACCACGTGTTTTAATTTCTTCTAATTACACTTTTACCTTCCTCACAATTAGTTGAATCCAATCGCCGAAGGACTCCATATTGGAGGAATTTTGGGCAAATACATATTCTAACAAATAAAAAGTTTTATGTCCAATAAAATGCAGCAAATATTATTTACATTTCAACCTATGAAGTCCAAGAAAAGAGAAAAAATCATTTTATATTAACTTTTTTGGTAAATTTACGTGAAGAATTTAATTATTTTCAACGAAACTCGATTGTAGTAAACCTGACATCCATTCTGTTTTGTTTCTAGAAGCACATTTTAACTGCCACTAAAATTTTTTTAATATATTTAAAAGAAGTTTTCGCTACTTTGTGAATTAAATCTTAGTTAAAGACTATAAAATTTTTATAAAAGTGCTATTTAACATAAGCTATGAAAGGTTTTCTTAAATGCTGTAAAGCGTATACTTACAAATAAAAAGTGTTATGTCCACAAGAATCTAGCAAATATAATTTACTTTTTCACAACTGCAGGTGAAGAAAAGAGAAAAAATCATTTTATTACAACTTTTATAGGTTACTTTACGTGTAGAATTCAACTCTCTATCGACGAAACTCGATTGTAGTCAATCTGACATCCATTCTTTCTTGTTTGTAATAGCACATTTTACCTTCGCTAAAAATTATTTCTTATGTTAAAAAAAATTTTTCGCTGCTATTTAAATTAAATAATAGTTGAATACTATCAGATATCTAAAGAAGTGGTATGTAACAAAAGCTTAAAAACGTTTTCTTTTAAGTTTTTAGGCGAATAGTTACAAATAAAAAGTGTTTGAACTGATAAAATCCAGTAAATATTATTTATATTTTAACAACTGCAGTCCAAAAAAAAAACTTACTTTATTACAACTTTTGTTGGTTACTTTACGTGTAGAAATCAATTCTTTTTCGACGAAATTCGATTGTAGTCAACCTAACATCCATTTTTTCTTGTTTTTATTAGCACATTTTTAACGTCGCTAAAAATTTTGGCTGCTTTCTACATTAAAGAATCGTTGAAATGTATCAGATATCTAAAGAATTACTATATAAAAAGAGCTAAAAAACGTTTTCTTTCAAGTTTTAAAGCGTATACTAACAAAATAAAAAGTGGTTAGTCCAATAGTATCTAGCAAATAAAATTTATATTTCAACAACTGCAGTCCAAAAAAAGGGAAAAAATTATTTAATTACAAATTTTCTCAGTTACTTTACGTGAAGAATTCAATTCTTTTTTGACAAAATTCGATTGTAGTCAACATAACATCTATTCTGTTTAGTCTCTAATAGCACATTTTTATGTTCGCTTAAAAATTTTTAATATATCTAAAAAAAATTTTTTGCTACTTTCTGGATTAAATGATTGTGAAAAACTATAAAAATTCTAAAATAGTGCTATTTATTAGAACCTATGAAACATTTTCTTTCAAGCTTTAAAGCGTATTCTTACGAATAAAAAGATTTAAGTCCGTAAAAATTTGGCAAACATCATTTATATTTGGACTACTGCAGTAAAAAAAAAGAGAAAAAATCATTTTATTACAACTTTATTTGGTTACTTTACGTGTAAAATTCAATTCTTTTTTGACGAAATTCGATTGTACTCAACCAAATATCTATTTTGTCTAGTTTCTAATAGCAAATTTTTACCGTCGCTAAAAATTTTTCATTATATTTAAGAAGAATTTTCGCTTCTTTCTAGATTAAATAATAGTTGAAAACTATTAGATATCTAAAGAAATGCTGTATAACAAAATCTATAAAACGTTTTCTTTCAAGTTTTAAAGCGTATACTAACGAATAAAAAGTGTTAAGTCCAGTAAAATCTTGCAAATAACATTAATATTTCAACAAATGCAGTCTAAAAAAAAGAAAAAAATAATTTTTGTACAACTTTTTATGGTTACTTTACGTGAAGATTTCAATTCTTTTTCAACAAATTTCGATTGTAATCAACATAACATCTATTCTGTTTAGTTTCTAATAGCACATTTTACCTTCGCTAAAAATTTTTTAATATATTCAAGAGAAATTTTGCTTCTTTCTGGATTGAATTATAGCTAAAAACTATCAGATTACTAAACAAATGCTATATAACAAAAGCTATATAACGTTTTCTTTCAAGTTTTAAAGCGTATACTAATAAATAAAAAGTGTTATGTCCAATAAAGTCTAGCAAATATTATTTTTTTTTCCACAACTGCAGTCGAAGAAAAGAGCAAAAATCATTTTATTACAACTTTTATAGGTTACTTTACGTGTAGAATTCAACTCTCTTTCGACGAAACTCGATTGTAGTCAACTTGACATCGATTCTTTCTTGTTTCTAATAGCACATTTTACTTTCGCTAAAAATTATTTATTATATTAAAGAAAATTTTTCGCTGCTATTTAAATTAAATAATAGTTGAATACTATCAGATATCTAAAGAAGTGCTATATAACTAGAGCTATAAAACGTTTTCTTTCAAGTTTTAAATCGAATACTAACAAATAAAAAGTGTTAAGTCCAATAAAATCTAGCAAATAACATTTATATTTCAACAACTGCAGTCCAAAAAAAGGAAAAAAATTATTTTTTTACAACTTTTATTTGTTACTTAACGTGAATAATTCAATTCTTTTTGAACGAAACTCGACTGTAGTAAACCTGATATCTATTCTGTTTTGTTTCTAGTAGCACATTTTTACCGTCGCTAAAAATGTCTTACTATATTTAGAAAGAAATTTTCTCTACTTTCTGGATTAAATCGTTGTTAAAAACTGTAAAATTCCTAAACAAGTGCTATATACCAAGAGCTATAGATTGATTTTATTCAAGCTTTAAAGCGTATACTTACAAGTATAAAGTGTTAAGTCCGCAAAAATTTGGCAAACATCACTTATATTTGGACTACTGCAGTCAAAAAAAAAGGGAAAAAATAATTTTATTACGAATTTTTTGGTTACCTTACGTGAAGAATTCAATTCTTTTTCAACGAAACACGGTTGTAGTAAACCTAACATCTATTTTGTATTGTTTCTAGTAGTACATTTTTACCGTCGCTAAATAATTTTCAATATATTTAGAAAGAAATTTTCGCTACTTTCTGGATTAAATCGTAGGTAAAAACTATAAAATTTCTAAACAAGTGCTATATAACATGAGCTACAAAACGTTTTCTTTGAAGTTTGAAACCGTATACTAGCAAATAAAAAGTTTTATGTCCACTAAAGTCTAGCAAATATCTTTATATTTCAACAACTGAAGTCCTAAAAAGTGAAAAATTTTATTATTTCCCCTTTTTTTGATTACTTTACATGAAGAGTTTAATTCTTTTTCTTTGATACTCGATTGTAGTAAACCTGACATCCATTCTTTTTTTTTTCTAGTAGCACATTTTTAATGTTTCTACAAAATTTTTAATATATACAAAAAGAAATTTCCGCTACATTCTGGATAAACACGTAGTTGAAAACTTAAATATTTCTAAATAAAGTGCTACATAACAAAAGCTATAAAACGTTTTCTTTAAAGCTTTAAATCGTATACTTACAAATAAAAAGTAGTAAGTCCAATAAAATCTAGCAAAAATCATTTACATTTTAAAAACTGCAGTCCAAGGAATAAGAAAAAATCAATTTATTACAACTGTTTTTGGCTGCTTCATTTGTAGAATTTAATTATTTTTCGACAAAATTCGATTGTAGTCAATCCAACACCTATTCTGTTTAGTTTCTTATACCACATTCGTACCTTCGCTAAAAAATTTTTAATATATTTAAGAAAAATTTTTGCTGCTATCTAAATTAAGTAGTAGTTGAAAACTATTAGATATCTAAAGAAGTGCTATTTTACAGAAGCTATAGAGCGTTTTCTTTCAAAATTTAAAACGTATACTTATAAATAAAAAGTTTTTTGTCTGATATAATCTTGCAAATATCATTTATATTTTAACAACTGCTTTTCAAAAAGAGAGAAAAAATCAT